CAAGTTTCAAGTTTATGATATGAACCGTTTTGAATACAAGCCTTGCGGAGAATAATACAAAATTGTCCAAATCATCCCCCCCCCCCCAACTTGAAAAAGTGAGATTAACAGCCCCATAACCCATCAACACAAGTTTTTACAAAATTAATATTGAGCACCCTAAGATGCTCCTGAAATACTAGCAAATTCATGTTAATGTAATTCCAAAATGTGGTTAATTTGAGCTGTTTTGAGCTCAATAACAGCTCAAACTGCAATCCGCCCGGGGCGATTAAGTAATCCGCCCGGGCGAAATAGTAATCCGCCCGGGTGAAATAGTGGGCCGAAAACAAATATTTTGGTCATAACAAATACGCTCCTGTATAAAATGTGCCCCCTAGCAAAACTGGCCCTAAAATTTCGGATCATTTGTTTTCAGTAACCATTTCCCAAAATGGAATAGAGAGTTCTGATATGAACGAGGAATATAAAAACTAAGCCCCCAAACCCTTACAAAAACTCCTCTCTAACCCCGTTTTTTTTTTTGATTTCCTTGAATGTTTCTCTTCATTCTGCGACGGATAACCCTAACCCGAAAATGCCTCTAATAAACCTGTTTTCCAGAGAGGGCAAAACGTTATGTGGACACGGCTTAGTCCACATAACGTCAACACAACCTGCATTATGTCGACATCTTTAATTTTGTTCACCGTCCACAAAGTGACTGATAGGAATTTGTATCCTTGTGGAGACATTCCTTTGTTCTCGTGTACTAAATTTTTCGATTTTGAAAGTTATGTTTAAAAATGCTCTTATTTTAACCAGAATTAATTTTCTTGGCTGAAATTTGGACTTAATATCCCTTTCCTAAAACTCTTCCATTTGCGACGGATCAACATAGCTTGGAAATTCCTGGTTTTTGAGTAAAATCCATATATCTATTTCGTGAAAACCTTGTGGAGACATATTCATCCATAGAAATTGCCCTGTGGAGACGTATCTTTTGTTCCCTATTGTGCACACGTCTCCAGAGGGCACGGTGTATCAGATCACCCTGGCACACACAAACGTACCCACGAGCAGGCGCGGTTCTACGGGGGGGGGGGCTAAAAAAAAATTTGTCTAGCCCCCCAAAATAAATTCCGTAAAAAGACATTGCAATATGGCAAAAAGAAGGATTGTGATGTACATGCGAACGGTCTCCCCCTAAAGAAATGGTCGTGACAAGGGTGCATTTGTAGTTAATAAAGTGTGAATGATTTTAGGATTTTATTGGCGCTCCCCATTGAAAAAAATTGACTCAAGTCAGAGAAAATTACCAAAAAACAGTAACCACCTGATTTAATGAAATGCGCTTGCTTGCTTTTCTAAAATGGGGTATACCGGTATTACAGTTTGCTGCTGCTGATTTCTGTATAGCGTTATTCAGAAGTGTCAGCATTGGTACATGTAATGACAACGTCGGGTCAAAAAGGGGCACTTTCTTGCTCTGAAAATGCCCGACACAATCATTTAAGTGGAGCGAAATAGGCTAACAACTACACAGCAATAAATAACCAGCAACTTGTTGTCTTTCTAGGAATGTAGTTAGGAACTTTACTAATGAATTCACTTTCACAAATTTGATGCAAAATGTCAGTAAAGTCAAAAGTGGCGACTACAACAAATTGAGCACTATTTATTTGGGGTTTTTTTTGAGGGGGGGAGTATTTGGTTGTTGTTTACATAACCTTAATGTTTGTCCAGAACCATCCACTATTCCTGAGCTTTTAAATGCCAACAAAGATGCCCAATTTGACTTAAAAGGCATGCGAAGAAATTCAGGAATCACATTTCTGCCATTAAAACTGAAGATACTTTATTTATTTAACAACCCCATAATTAAAGGGGACAAATTCGAGGGACATCCTTTCCATGTTCTATAAAAATGTGCAGTGAGGATGCACTTTTCATCCCAATTTGGAGAGGTGCTGTGCAAATCTGAAAGCCTACACTTTGTTTTAACTTTTCACTACTGACTAGGTACACGTACATGTACATGTATCGTTATAAATACTTGCATATTGTCTTTATACAATAATTACATTATTAATTTGAAACAATTACTCTTGACCTTAACACATGATAAATGTTTTGTATTAAATTGACCAATAATTGAACAACTTCTATATGCAAGAGGGCTCATATTTAATTAGCATAGTAGAAACGTTGAGCATGTGTGACTTTACTTACAATTGGAAATAAACCAGTCTGCTATGGACTTCAAAGTTCTACCTGTCAAACTTCAGCACTCAGAAAATGGAACTCAGAATAAGGCAAAAGATTCTGTACTCGACTCTCACAAATCAACACAACTTCAAAAGATTTTGTCATGAACAAAATTAAGAAACAGGAATGCCGATCCATTAATGTAACTCTAATACAAGCTGTACAAAACAAAAACTTTTGAGGTATTCAATCGATCTGAGACATTTAACACGCTTTGTTTACAATAAAGCATTACGTCATTATTTTGTCTCAGATCTATTCTCTATGGACCATGTCATCTGTGATGCCTGCCTGTCCGTTGCTTGCATCCTCAACAGCCATCTAAATGTCTTTGTTCTCCATTATTGTAAGTGCAAGGTTTATATGTTGAAAGGCAACCATAGTTAAAACAAAAATAGCGACGCAGTGAAGAAAAAGAGTGATTTGCTTTTCCCTGGTGAAAGTTCGCAACACATGACTGCAACAGGCCATTCTGCAAACACGTCTGACATGGCCAGTACATGTAATATCAAATCAAAATTAGACATGATTAGAAACGCTTGCCAAACAATTGTTGAAAGTAGAATTAATAAGTGTTTAGGGCGCTACATCCAGCCTTTGAGTAGCGTCGATGGAATGCCTGAATCAGGACACAAAATGGCGCCCATGAGCAATGATGCAAGCAGCCTTTTCTGGGAACATGCTAACATTGGGAAAGTCCAGGAAGTCCAAATTTTGACAGAATAGCTTCCTCAACTCTACTCATCAATGGCTGTACTGCCAATAAGTAATAGTAAATGCCAAGATGTAAATGCGTGGAAACAAATACACCAACCTCCCCCTGTTGGGGAGGTCTATGGACTCTGTGTATGAGCAATAGGCACCTTGAGACAACTTTCAAAAACCTAAGTGAAAGGAACACCCGGTGCACGTACCAGTTCGTGCAAGCATGGCACAACGCAAGCACAACTCTTTTAATCTGAATGTACGTAAACCCGCGGTGTATCGGCAATGTGTTCAATTGTAAACATAGGAGGCTCTCCTTTGTAAACGTTGAGAGGGTACTCATGCAAGACGTCCATAGCTTTTAGAATGAGACATATCACTGGTCTCTAGACAGCCAATCAGCAACCTGTTTTCTGTTGCAGTTGCTCATAGGCTATCTATTCAAATTTGCTTGTGAGCTCTCAATTTCTCTGAACTCTCATTGGATGGACAAAACTGGGACTGTGGAGAACACATGATGCATTCAAACAAAGTCTACACACATTGATCATGACAATAAGCTTCTTACAATGCTTTGCATTTCCTTCACCAAGTTATGTGAAAAAGATCAGTAGTCACCATAGCCAACGTCTTTGAAAAGGGTGCCAGGTGCAAGCAAGCAAATTGCCCCAGACACAAATGTGGACAGACAAAGAAACAGATGAAGGCTGCATGGATCATTGAGTAGCGTTAGCCTTGAGACACCACTGAAGAGCAAGTTTAATCAAGATCAACAATCAACCAAGAGCAGTTGAAGCGAGGACGACAGTTAACCATAGTTCAACTAACTTCACTTGAAGCAGGAGGGTTGGGCTACTCTAGTCAACTATGGAACCGATGTATGGGGCACGGTTGCATCACTAGTTAAAGCCTTGGTCAATGCTCTCGTCGTTATTCGTCCCGTACGCAGTCAATCGTCGGCATACATGTACATGTATATCCTCAAGTGCTATGCACATGCATGTAAAAATACAGCGCGAACAGCGACCTCACGCGGCCACTATTTTTATATGCAAATCAGTTGGGGACGATCAAGAGCCTTGGTTCAATCGTCCATGTGAGGTTTTGGGGGTGGTGCTCATTATGTTAATAGCTTAAGCTGACCTTAAATGTCGTTTTCTTATTAGTCGATCGTTGCGTGGAAACTTGCATAGTGAAACGTGGCACCGTACATAATCCATACACGTACACGTTGTGTGTCTCTGCACACGGCACAAATGCACAAAAACTGTGGTTCCTGTCACGTCCGCAAAAGGAGAATAGCTGCAAATAATTTGATGACGTCCGGATTTACCAAGGTGTGATTGGACACTCCACATATTAGCCCCGCCTACACTTATCTGTATTCGCATACGAGGTCGTGCGCTAGAAATCCAGCGCAAAATAAAGAAAAACATAAGCTTTTGCCGACGATTGAACCAAGGCTCGAGATCGTCCCCAACTGATTTGCATAAAAAAATAGTGGCCGCATGAGGTCGCTGTTCGCGCTGTATTTTTACATGCATGTGCATAGCGCGTGAGGATATATGCCGATGATTGACCGCGTACGGGACGAATAACGACGAGAGCATTGACCAAGGCTACACTAGTTACTAACAGCCGCACGCATCATAAAGCACAACAGGAAGCCAGGACCAAGAGGTTTTGACTAGAGGCTTTGGCGCATTGCTATTATTGAGCAGGTGTAAGTTACGTCACAAATCAACCACTAACAATTAACTGAGTGATCCTTGCCCAACATTGCTCCATACTAAGATTGATAATGGTTGGTCGAAACCATCACAGTTTACATTAGGTTTCATGATATTACATCTACTTGTTATTTCAAATTTAGAGATTAAACACAGCCTCAATATAGTCAGTCAGGAATACAGCACATGCTAATTTTTGGGAACTTTCTCTGCGGTTGCTACCTGTAAGTGTAAATAGCGCCCTCAGTAGACAAAGTCTAAGAGAAGACATTTCTCAAACCCCTTCTAGCTTTAAAAGAAAGTCACAGCTACTTTGAATGAGGATTTTAAATTTTTTAATACAATTACATGTATGTGGGAGAAAGTATTGATACTAGGACATTATTAAGCAATTACTATACCTTTTCCAAATTACCAACAGTTAATGTGTACCGCAGCCAATTCATTGCGTTCTATACCTTCTGATCTCCTGCTAAATAACTGCACTCTTTTAAAGCACGCTCAGCAACCAGGGATGGAATGGGGGTAGCTTCAAAGAAACTGTTCAGGCTAGGGTATAATCGCTCTTTGAATAAATAGATCCGCTGTTTATAGTCGGTGACTTGCTCTATACATCAAGCTTCTACAAATGGTTCATCCGTCAATGAATACTTTGCCAAGTGGATGTCAAAACCATCACGGAGTGACAGCTTGCTCGACCGGCTCAGGAAAGTTAAACCTGAACTCGCCATCAGCCTCCAACTGAATTTTTTGATTGTCGGCGACCGTGTCTTGCTTGTCAGTCACCGCATCGGTGGTCTGATTGTCCACGATGGCAGCCTGGTTCACGGCCACTGTCGCTTCCTTGTCTCGTATGACTGACTGTTGTTTCTTCTTGCCTCGATTCCTCCTCCGACTGCCTGATTTCTTACGTCCACCACTTGGACCTTTCTCTGGGGTGCTGTTTTCGCTCAGGGAGCCCTCAATGTTCTTTTTTGAGCCCCGTAGCCTGGTGTCGTTCCGGTCAAGATCCTTGTCACTGATGTCAAAGTTGAACGAGAAGGGTTGATTCTCGCTCTTTAGATTCAAGGGCGGGTTGGGGCATTCCTCGATCTTTGTTTCAGACCCTCCATCCTGATTTAAACATTTCTGCTCACTCCCAACTAACTGCCTAGTCGTGTCATTTTGACAGGCCTTGTCACGGTCCATAGACTTACTTTCAGTCTTCTCCTGTGCAAGATTTAAAATGTGCATGCCCTCGGTGCTTTTCTCCAGTTCTTGCATTGATACGTCACCCTCTTCACCCTCAAGCTGATTATAGTTCATCGACCCCAAACCAAGACCCGATGACCTGGGGTCATGACCTGAAGGGCCTGCTTCACCTGGGAGGTCACTGCTGGTAGATAGTATCTTTGATGATGGAACTGCACTGGCAGAGTTGGACATCCGATAGAATGTACTGCTGCATTGTTTACTGGGGCTAACCGGCTCCAGACACATCCGTTTACTCATATCTACAAGAAAAAAACAGGGTACATGTAATTATTGAACCAAACTTTTCTAGCATGCAACATCAGAAATCATGTTGTACTCGATGCTACATGTACTTGAGGTCCTAGCATTCCAAGCCTATTCATTCTGTTCACATGTCCCCTCGATGCAGAAAATGAGCAAGAGATACATGTACAGGATACTTAAAAGACACTGCTTCTGTGACCCCATGCTTGCATATAAATGCGTTCCCCCTGCAAACATGCTACAGGTTTGTGCATATTCAGATGAAAATGTACCCGGCACTGTGTCCTTGTGAGTATACCAAAAAGTACCATCTTAATTCCCACACAGAATCAGACATAACTACTGGAGCCATATCCATCTCCAACCATCCACTAAACCAAGCCTTACGTTTTCAATATGAACCTACATGTACTTTATTTTATGTCTCTTTTCTCTTTGTTGTATTTTGCTTTATCCAAAGTCCAACCCAAGACTAGGCAAGGCTAGGAAAGCTGGCCAAGGAGTACAAAAAATTCTTTTCAACCGATTCAGAATGGCTATTCTCTTGAAGTCTGATCTACACAATGGGCTGGAGTTAGCCCATTCATTGGGGTAATCCTGTATGATAGCACTTGGAAGCTCACAAGAGAGAGTGTCAGTCAGTGAAACTGTCAGTGAGTCAGTCAGGTACAAAGAGGACAATAGGCTGGCCCTCTGGGACCATCAAAAACCAAACTTAAACCAGTAGCCAACTGCAACTTTAATCTGTGCAAGCGTTCATGTCCTACACCTTTGTGTGCTTTATGTATATTTTCATCCTGTCCCATCTACATGTACATGTCGCTCCTTTAATTCCCAATCCAAACATTAACTACCACTCCCACATCAAACTGAACCTGACCTCATACCCTACAGCAAGCCCCAACAATTAAACCTCTTCAAGTGTTCGTGTCTACACTGTATATCTGACTCTTGTTTCTTCTCCTCCTGTTGCATTCTGCAGTAAGAAAACCCTTCCTAAACTGAAACCTCTACTTATACCCAGTGTAGTTATCGAGGTACTTGCGATGGATCAAATGTGTATCACACGTCCCGTCACAAGTACATTGTAAATCACAAATCAATTCACAACTCCTGTCCCAAGTCCAGTCACAAGTAATATGGAACGTACAATAACAAGGGAATATCTTTTTCACAGTTCCCTTGTGCGTTGATTAACTTGTGAAGACTTGTGGTCCCACGCTGGCTATACCTTACATGTATTTCAACCTGGAACTCATCACGCCCAAATGTCAAGTTAACCCCTGCAGGACTTCATGTCCTGCATCTGTACCTGCTTTATGTTTCCTCTCTTCTTGCTGCATCTTGCTCCTGTAGTCTCCAAACGTGGCCCTCATCACCTGTCTCTTCTTAGCCATGGGTGCTTTGGTGGACGTCAGGACACGTAGCAGCTTGTGAGCTTCTTCAGCTGTGTGGAGAAAACCACAACTCATTTATACAGATTGTCACTCAAAGAGCCTAACAGTCAAAACCAATTGATAAAGGTATATTGTTTGCTTATCCTATTTCAAACATCTGGTTGAAAGGAAACCAACCTAAAGTCTTACCATTCCCGAGAAAAGACCAAAAAAATCGGACATGACGGAATACGAATACATTTTTCGTGTCGTTCTCAGTGTACGATATACCCGTTGTGTGTCTCGGGTACAGCGGTGACCAATCACCAATGCAAAAAAAGTGGTTTCTTCAACGTCCTCAAAAGGCGAATTCTTTACGAATGAAATCACAACTAGCATCCAAACAGTTTGAATTTATGGGGTGGCAAAAGAGGGCCCCGAAATTCGTTCTCGCACGCATAATACAGGAATAACACAAGAGTGTGAAGCCCGGGAAGGGACAGGGTGGAATTTTTTTTGGCATTTCCTAATTCGTTCGCACGAATTACTAATTCGTTCGCACAAATTACTAATTCGTGGGAACGAATTAGTAATTGGTTCGCACGAATTAGTGATTCGTGCGAACGAATTACTAATTCGTTCCCACGAATTAGCAAACTCCAGTAATTCGTTCGCACGAATTACTAATTCGTTCCCACGAATTAGTAAACTCCAGTAATTCGTTCGCACGAATTACTAATTCGTTCCCACGAATTACGAATAGGAATTCGTGCGAACGAATTACTAATTCGTTCAAACGAATTACTAATTCGTTTCCACGAATTAGTAATTTGTGCGAACGAATTAGGAATTCGTGCAAACGAAATAGCAATTCGTGCGAACGAATTAGGAATTCGTGGGAACGAAATAGTAATTTGTGCGAACGAATTAGGAAATGCCAAAAAAAATTTCCACCCTGTCCCTTACCGGGCTTCATACAAAAGCCCAGTTTTGAAAGGATAGTTGTGTGGATGTTTATATCCTACTTTTAAGTTCCTCCATCACTTAGTGGTGAGCCTGGACTATTTACAAACACTGATGACAACAAAAGTCTCAATAAGATAGGATCAACTTTTTCAAACTTACGATACACGTTGACGTACTTGATAATGAAGCTTACATCAGTGCTTGCATCATCTTTTTCTCATAACGTGAACTGCTTGTTTATATTGTTCTTGAAATTGTTGCCTTTTATCTTCTTGCTCAAGGCAACTTGTGCCAGGCATTCACAAATGTAGACTCCATGGATAAGTACCCCCTCAATGTTTAAAAGGGAGAGTTGGGGGAGACCACTTGGAGGGACCTTGTGTAGGGGGTAGGGGTGAGGCAATGTATATTTTCAGGGAGTACACTGTACACTGTACTGCAACTCTCCACCCCCTCCTCAATCAATTCCTTTAAAGATGTCTTTTGCCTTCAAAAATAGATCTGTTTTTAAACTACTATTTTCCGAGCTATATAACAGTTATGCACTTTTGAATCAGACATCGAACAAACAAAAATCCACAGACGCTTAGCTACTGAATTGTATCTTCACTAAATTTAAATTATTGGCTACCCGACAATAACTCAGCTAACAAAACAAAACAAAATTGAATATTTGTAAATATAAAAAAAAAAAATTAAAGAGCACGGGGTTTGCAACTTTAATGTCTGTATATGCATACTGTATAATACACTATCTACAGCATGTACGGGACATCAAGGTTATGAGCTGTGGGAAGCCTTGCACACATTTAATCTGAACCCAGATACAAGGCCTCTCTAGCTCAACCACATAATGTCAGGAAATGTAACTTTAATAATAGATGAATTCATCAACACTGATGCATTAGTGAGCAGTGAGGAGAGACAGGAGTCTACCGGTATCTGCCTGCAATGCCAACAACCTTGGCAAATAAGTGCTTTTCACGCATGACCACAGTTTTCTCAAAATTGATTGGTACATTGCGACTGGGATGAGTTCTTTGGAAGCCGTACTCAGGCGTGCCATCCCTTGTACATGTATTTTACTGACTAGAGCTATTCCGCACAAACATCGAAATCAACTCCTCAACCTTGTGAAGATCAATTTGGTGGCAGAGCCTGATTAAAAATCGCACACAAGTCATGCAAGTCAGCACAAGATCTCCCCACGCACACACACAAAACAAGTGGTTCAAAGGTTGAGTGCAATGAAAACGTCAAGAAAAGGAAATCTGATTAAAAAAACAAAATGTGATTGCCAAATAATAACAAGAAGGCTTGATTATTGTATCAACAGATTGACAACACCTTTACACTTTTTAAAGTTTTCTTGCACAGCATCTGTTTAATAATGTTGTTGTTGTTGTTGTTGTTGTTGTTGTTGTTGTTGTTGTTGTTGTTGTTGTCGTCGTTGTCGTTGATGCTGTTGTTTATTTTATTAGAGCCCCTGCAGACTCCCTGCACAAACAGTAGATGGCGCTTTTTGGCAAATTGAAAAGCTGCAGGTGCAGAACACATTGCATGCGCGTACTGGTCCGCATGCATATAGCACGAAGTAGGCACGACAAGTTCGTTTCAACAATGAGTTCAACGGTTCTTCCAAGTGGTCTGCCCCAAAACTCTCCAATTTTAACCGTTGAGGGGGTACTTATGCACTGAGTCCTTTATTTTTAGGAAAAAGGAAAACTCCTGTTTCAATTAGGTACATGAAAAGGGTGAAAAAAAATAAGGTGAAAAAATTGTCAAAAAAGGGTTTTTTAATAATTAATGTTGCATTTTCACAACACAACAATTCATGGTAGGAATTTCTACAACTTGGATAAGGTGCATTTTGCAAGGTGTCCCAGCCTCTCTACTCCCTATAAAAAAAACCCATAAAGAGACTGCAGACCAGAGTACTGCACATTAATTTGAGTCATCTCTGATTTGCAGGCTGTGGCCTTTCCAAGTGAATGCTCATCCCACCGAGGCTGGAAATAGAGGACGCAGGGGATCATCCAAGGAGAGAAGACTAATTAAAGGAGGGGTGAAAAGCTGGCCCATGCGGCACAAAGCGGGAGAACTGGCAGGGAAACTAATAAGCCCCCTATCCTGAGTTCTTCAGTAAGATTGCTACATATGCATGCGAGATTATACACGTAAGCTCTTTGCTGGATTTGCCAAGTTAAGCATAAGAACGAAATGAGAGAACAGTACAGCATAATTTTTTAGCATAGAAAGAGGAAATATAGAGGGATGAAATTTTGTCAAGTATCTTTGTTTCACCACAGCCAACACAGACACACTTTTAGAATTTTGTCCATGGATCACAATAAAAGTAAGTGATATTTCAGCAAACTCACATATCAAAACAACCCACATCAGAACAATCTCATATTAAACCATGATAACTGGCTCTTATCATGTACCTTAAACACTTTCTGCTTCCACTGTTAAGACAACATGCTTTATAATGTCAAGAGTTTATAACCCTGCCCTGCCTTCTACTTGGCTACCCCGGAGACTTATGGTATTACTCTGATATTGTTTTCATGATACTTTACACTTTAATTCTACTGAAATATCACGCACCTTAAATGTGATGCCTTGGACAAAATTTCAAAACTCTGTTTGTGTTCAAAATTCCGTAACTGGAATAGAACATGAGTGATTTGAATGATACTTTTTACTATAAAAAGAAAGCTTATTACTTGGGCTTTCACATCTTTTCATATTGCAAATTTCAGTTGTGATATACGGTACAAACAAAAAGGTTGATTTAACGTTCTGTTTGAAGGAAAGCTCTACAGTATAGAGCAAGACCTTTATGCACCTTTAAATGCCCCAGGGTTTGGTCACGTTTTTCATGCCGCAAGGTGGAGAATTTGGTCACTAAAAAACGTTGTTACCATTGGCGTACTACATAGAAAGGCAATCACTAGTCCGTCTCAGGTATGTAGGTCAGGGATTTTCACTTAAATTTTGGCCAAGGGGTGGGGATTTTGTGACTTCAAAAGTGACAATCCCCACGTCTTGGGGGGGGGGGGGGAACCGATGCATAACATGTACAGTTACCTTGAGGTTTAGCCTCCTTGGATGATGGTTTGATGTTGGCCAGTCCCACCCTAGTTTGCTGTATACACCAACACAACTCCTTCTGAAACTTCTCTGCTGCAGACTGGAAAAGAGAGCAAGCAAAGAAACTTAAGTGGAATTAATGGCCTCAATAACCTCAATAGGCATTTTCGAGCTACATGTACGTGCATCTACCTCAACCGTGCTTGAAATTAACAAGGGTTCGTTGTGAGCAGAACGTGGGGTCCAATGGAACGCAGGTTGACAAGGCATACACGGATACATGTACATGTATATGTTTCATTCGCACTTACATGTAAGTATAGTGTACCGGTGATATAACTTTTGCACATGGGTTGGACATACCGGTACATGTGGATGTTTTTTTTATTTTCTACCCTACAGCTGTACAGGGTGAGTCAAAAAAAGCGAAACCCAAACCCAACAAAATGTATTTCATACTTTAAAAATATGTAGCACCAAACATAATAATGACTGGAAAGCCAATTTCATAAGCTACTTTTAGATGAAAAAAATACTGTAATTGCTCAATCCGTTAAAAGAATATCATCATTTAAATGCAATGACTCTAAAAGCCGTTTCGTCAAAAAGAAAGCAGTTTATTTTGTATTCTGACTGTTTGAAACAACAAAGACAATGACACAGAATACTGGTTTCAACAACTGTCAACAACTGTAGTACACAATATCTTTATTAACATCCCTGGTTAGGCAAACAATATGATTTATGAAATCAATTTTTTTTTAAAGACTGGGCTTCAAAAGGACTTTGTTGATTATTTTTAACTTTTGACTGAGGTTTTATCGCTGGTGATGTTTGAAGACAATGTGACAACGATTCTTGAAATCATATTTTTAGAAGAAAGAGGTTTTAGGGTCATTGTGTTTAAATGGTGATATTCCTTGAACGGCTTGGGCAATTGCAGTAATTTTTCATATAAAAGTAGCTTATGAAATTGGCTTTAGAGTCATTTTTATGTTTCGTGCTACATATTATTTTAAATATGAAATATAATTTTGGGGGTTTGGGTTCCGGTTTTTTTTACTCACCCTGTAGTAAAGCCCCAACCTTCACTGTCTGCAGATGTTTAATATATGATGATGCATATGTAAGACATTATATTTTTAATTTTAAAAAAGTCCTGAACATCTGTCCAGAATGAGTTTTTAAATTCGGTAATGACACACTGCTGGGAAATTGAAGGTAACTTTTGGCTCAAAAAGAAGTGCAGACTACGTGTAGGCAATATAAAATTTCAGCTTGGCTGCCTGCATATGGAGTCATTTACAAATTATGGGCAATTCTCCATGGGAGAGGAAAAAATGTCAAAAATAAATATTTACATATTAAACCTTTTTTGTACCTTTTCCAGACCTCAATTAAATGGGGAATTCAGTTCAAAAAACGAAATTTAAAAAAAAAAATATTTCTGGTAAAAACAGTGATTTTGGCAACTTATGATTAAAAACGTTCAGATTTGGTAAAAAAAGAAAATTTTGTATATGTATTACTTTCTGAATTACAGGGAAAAAGTTTGATTTATTTTATAATGTTACAAGTTACTAACATTACTCAGGGTCATTAAAAAAAAATCTATATATAAATATATATATGCAATAAATTCAGAATATGAGTTAAACAAACTTTGGTTATAGCTCTACAGAGATGTATCGAGCACTGTGAATTGTGATAGAAGACAATTTCATTGGATAAATATATATATGTATATATAGTGTAGGCCTTCATTTAAAAATGTCAAAATTAGCACGTAATTCCGTTACCGAAAACATGGCAAAAGTTACTTATTTTACAAATTTTCTTGTTTTTTTTCTTCAAATCATGTATGTTGAGAAAAGACCCTACTATAAACATAAATGAAAAATAAAAACTTTAAAATAGTAATTTCTTGGCATTTTTCCAAGTGGTAACGGAATTACGAAACGGTAACGGAATTACGGTAACGGAATTACGCATGCACAAAGTATGCACATTTCCTCCAGATTATGTACATGACATATTGAATAGGAGATTTGCATGTAACCTTGTAACCTACCAAGTTTTTACGAAATACCTTACTAGGATGTTGGTAAATGACAGTCTAAAGCATCCTGTAAAATTATGGCACCTGGTGTGAAGTCATTTTCAAGAAAATGGTATTTTTGTATACATTTCCAACGGTGGTCGGCCGACCACCGTTGGAAAAACCTAACTATTTTTCAACTACTGCTCCAACTTTACACATTTTCCAGTCCAAATTTTGTTTGCTATTGGTTACATGTTCATCATGTTCATGAACGGGTGAAGGCCAGCTAGACTGGTTCCCTTACCTTACAATTTTCCGGCATCTGTAAATTGATCCATTTTATCTTTAGTGGAGTCAAGGAACCAGTCTACTTGAACATTTTTGTTTTTCTTGGTCTTTCCAGCATTTTCGAAAACAAAACTTCAAACGTGTCAGTGTAATAATATTTGATCTATTATACCAACCCCTCAAATAGTTCATTTCTGAAAATTACAGCAAAAGCCAATGATGTACATTTACTATAGAAATGTGTTGCCAAAGTTATTGTCTGTTACCCACAGAAAATATATTCCACAACAAGTATGAAAGTTGAGTACCAGACTGTACTTGTACTGCTACTTGACATAATTTTACATTTTCCCTTGCTCAGAGATGCCAACCAGTACAGTTTTATTATATTTTGCACGATAAACTAGTGAAATACGATAAAACAATTGTTCATAGTAACATTCAATTTTCGGTAAAAAAAATATACATTGCTAACCAGCAATGCAGCCATCACCAGACTGCTTTCATTTGACCTTGACCTTTGACCTAAAAAATAAAGCCCAAACATGTTTAGGCCTACATTTACATTTTGATCTGCTAATTTTCACTTAGCTTTCCCCTTGTGCCATTTTATAAACTTCTAACATTTGTATTGTGATGAGTTTATGTTGAATTCAATGTTAATGTATTGCATTTACCCATTACATGTAAACCTATGGCGTAATTCCGTTACCGCCCAGCAAAATTCCGTTACCGTGATTAAAATGCAAATTATGAAAAGAGTGATTAATTTTTCAACTTTGTTCTGCATTGTAGTTAACAACAACCCTGAACTCTACAAGTAACAGGTAGTGTCCAATTTCAAAATTTCAAAACTTCAGAGAGTTTTATTAATTTATGCGAGAAATCAAATATGCTTGTCCTCCGTCCGTAATTCCGTTACCGATATTAAGCTCCGCCCCTTAAGGGGTAATCTTGTGGGATTTTTTTTTTTTAGCGGTCAATCAATTCTATTGGGTCTTGGCTCCCTTTCCATGTTTAGATTAGTTGCCTAGCATAGAACATATTTTCTTTGGAAAGAATAATCCTTGACAAAGTGACAAATGGGCGTAATTCCGTTACCAAAGAATTGCCCATTATGTATAATGTACCGATATTTTAAAGGAATGTGCTTTTAAAGGGATGTAATGATTTTCATGTGAAAACTAAGATTAAAATTATCCATTATTGCCCCATCACGTCCCATGTGAAACAAAAGCCTGATTTGGTTACAAATATAATTGACAAAAAAAGTTTCATTAGATCTTGAAAACAATGTACATGTACATGTACACGCTACAAGCATAGTGCATTAAATGCCCACAGTCATCAATTTGTAAGTATACAGTCAGGTTCAAGTAATCCAATGATGCATCATGTTAATTGAATCCATGAATACACTGTCTGTACAGGTATATAAAAACAACCAATTATTTAACAGACTCTTAAGTAATTAGCAATTTATAATACGGCCCACGATACAGCCCGCATCCTTGGGCCAGCCTGACAGTCAATGCCAAACGGAAGCAACGTGAATATAATTAAAAACTAATACAAAACAAATACAGCTTGCTGCTGGGTATTGATTTCCCTTTTTGTCGCCTATCAGACAACTATAAGCAACAAGCAAACATTCAAGGCGGAGGAATAATTGGGGGGGGGTGGGAAATGAAATACACGTATATCATTGATTGCGTCTGCAATCTGTTACAATACAACGGCTGTTTGACCATGTTCATTGTTTGGTGCACCATGAATTGGTCAGGGATTGGTACATGTATGACATTTTGCATGAAATTTGAAGTGTATATGAAATTTATACGTATGGTATGCATGGTGCTGATTTACAATTTTTAAAAATCTGAAATCAGGTAATTGCTGGATAATTTACATCCCTGATTGCTGCTTATTGAGTTATGACAATTGAAAATGTGACATACACTTAGTAGTGCAACCAAAGATACGCATCAATCATTCAAATTGTACATGTACACCCTATATTAAGAGATCTAACCTACGCTGTCTGTCTGTGTGTCACATTTTTGGTAAAAGGCCTAAAGGAGTGTGCGGAAGCGCAAGGTGCAAGGGTTAATGGAAAGGTATCCAGTGGATGCAGGTCCTATGCTCCGATTTCACTGTCCTCTGAAGTCACGGTTGGCACTTGAAAAAAAAAAAATTTGTTTTGCTTTGCTTTTTTGGCAAATTTGTTTCATGGACACTTTGAATAGTGAAATATTACAACATTATCTCTATGAAAACATTCCAACGTTGATGATGAAAAATGTGGCAAAATTGCTTACATGTACCCAGTATACTGTGGACATTCCTTTGAATTCGTGTAGTTGAGAAAAACCAGAGAAAAAACTCTTTTTACTCCGACTGTGAACACTCTTTCAACCCGAATTTTTATCACGATTTCTTCGGGTGCTCCTCTTTATTTTGCGACGGATAAACCTGACCCAACAAATGCCTCTAAACCTGTCTTCCAGAGAGGGGGAAACCTAGTGTGGACGTGTGCAAGTCCACAAAGCGCTCACGTTTCCTGCATCCTGTGGACCTCTTTTGTTCACAGGTCCACAAAGAGTATTGTTAGAGCACCCACATCCACACACATTTGTTTATGGTGTAAATTAAGGATTTCATGTTGTTCCTCTTTCTCATTCGTTAATTTATACTCAACTTTTTGCAACAGCTCCCATTGGTTTTGTACACGTTTTCTAATCAAGGTTGTCCTCGATTTGACTCCAGTCCTC